GTCAACAAAAAAAAAAAAAAAATTATTTTTGCGTGTGTATTAATACCAAATTCTAAAATCTCTCTGCTCATGCTTTAATGTTTGATTGTATCAAGGGTCCCAAAGCAGATGAAGCATCCGCAACTAGCGCCGGAGGCTCGGGATCTGTAACTGATGCTAAGCCGAGTGCTGGGCAGTCATCCTCGGCTCCTAATGTGTCAACCGACAAAGACAAGAACTATGCTGTGGCTGCCGGTATTTTTACGATTGCTGCTGCCTTTGGGTGGTATTGGGCTTCAAGGAAGAAACAACCTGAGGAGGTCCAGGATTGAAGATCTAACATCAAACTGAGTGTTTTGCTGCCTAAATGAATAAAAAAAATGCATGCAGACAAGAAAACATCGTGTTCTGATTGTGTTCATCTTATTTTGTTTAATGCTATGCCCCTTTCTGTTAAGCTCGGGTTGTTTACCTATTGATGTTGGAATGCGTTTGGTAACAGAAAATGAAATGACTTGGTTTTGCTGGATTTACTTTGTTCAGAACCCGATGATGCTTGTTTTGATGGCGACTATATGGTAACTAGAACCTGGAGATAATGAAGGATATTGGCTATAAGATATATTTAGGGTGTTTGGTTTGCTAAATTCCAGTTTTTCATAATTTTTCATATGAGAATGAACAGTTATTCAATATGATGGCTTTCAATTATGCTCGATGAGGATTGCTGTTTGTCTCGGCTGACCCGGATTTTTAGGTTTGGTTTGAGAAAGAGCAAACTACTCTCTCTTTAATTTTGCATTATATCAACTTCTCAGCTCTATATTAAGAATATATTAAGATTAAGATTTTGCGTTGTCTTGTGCATTGACACGTGAGAATTATGGACCCTGGGGCCTGGGGCATATAATTCATTTTAGAAAATATTATAAACAACAGCTGACACGAGGCAAAATATCAATAAGGTATAAATGCCACGATAGCCCAACATGACATAGCACGATCGAGAATCGAGATACGAGAAATACGAAATAAAAATTTAGCCAAGTTAGATTCATCATTGTATTTAGAGGAAATTGCACCCTCTACATCAGCTGCCCTAATATATTATAAAATAATTAATGCAAAAACACGATAATGAAGTATGAACACGATAGGATAAATTTGCCACCCACCACCCATGTCTACATGCAGCTCTTACTCCGTAAAATTTTGTAAAGTTCGGTGTACTTTAATCTAGCAATCAATGTATAATCAACGTTATCGTAAATACTTTAAATTTATTAGCAACACACATTATATTATCCTTTCTGGTCAAAATAAAAATATTCATAAATTTGGACAATAATTTCAAAAATGTATTGACCTATTTTTATGGAGGAAAAATGAAAGCACAGGCTGAGCACTGTACCATCAAAACTGAACAGCTGCATACCCTTTATTTAGCTGCCAACTTAGAGGCACCCCTTAAAGCAGCCTTCCTAATAAATAGTTCCAATCTTTATATTTCCCTTTTCATGCCCTTCCCGTGTGCTCTCCCTCTTCAATAAAACATACATATTTCTACTTTCTTCATCACCAAAATCAAAGCATTTTTTTCTTGGAGGAGATCAAATGCTCCATGGCAGCCTGTATTGGCCTAGAAAAACCCATCAACACTGACAGCCCATTGTGCCAGAAAAAAAGTCCCACTCTTCTTGAATTCCTTTCACAATGGCCAAAACAATCAAACCCATCAAGACCCTTGATATAGAAACCTTCTCACAACTCAATCATCTCCACATTTTCTCCGGCTCCTCGTTTTCTTTCCCCTAATCCTCGAGCTCGATGCCTTCAACCAACCCAAATGCCATGCGAGACGAATGTTGGATTTCGAGCACTCAAGCGGATAAAAACAGAAGCTTCAACTTTGCCGATGAGTATTTTTTGAAAAATGAAGTCCTCACTAACAATAACGGTAATAAGAATGGGCAATCGCGAGAGGAGAGAGAAACACAAGGCCTCACGAGGAAAGAGTTGAAAAGATCGAGAAGTTATGGCGTGGGAGACTTCCCGCCTCCGATTTCTTGTATAGGAAAATGCGGGAAGCCGTTTGTGAGCTTTAGGTCATTCAGGCAAGACGGGAGGTTCATTCTTAAGGAGATAAGGATCCAGGAGCTTATGCACGTGCAACGTGAAAACGGGCGGTTGAAACTACAGTTCATCCAGTCTGATGACGATGATGAAGAAGATGGAGATAATTATGATGATGGTGCTATTGGTGAAGATGGAAAAGTGGAACGTTTTGAGAAGATACAATGAAAATAAAATGATGGTTGAAGGTCGATTTAAGATTCTAAAGTCCCGAACGGTCAGAGGTTCAATAGCCACCACCGAGTTTGATCATTTTGTATTTACTCGAAAAATTAAAAAAGGAAAAAAAAAAAGTCTCAAGGGTATTTCTATTTCATTATATCTAAGTAGGAAAATTTCCACTTTGTGTCATGTTTTTGCATAGCATACTTTCAGTTATGTTTCTTGTCTGAAACTGCAAATATTGTTTTTGGAGTTCATGTTCACTTGTGTCACTTTTATTCCGCACCTTTCAGTTTCAATGTACATATTGATTCATGGATTATGAATATTAAATGCGAACTGCACACGGCTTTGTATTGCTCAATTCACAGGGCATATGATATTTTATCTGAGATGCTTGCTAGTCCTTCCACATTTTGTAAGTCTTTTCCTAAAAGAATTGTGGTCAAAAGAAAAATACTAAACAAGTTTATAATAATCCCAAATAAATACACCCGTCGCGAATCACATTTATCCTGTAGTATTAAAAAACAATCAGAAAATAAAAATGTGAGAAAAAAGGAAGGAAAAACATGGCTATACATCATTCTCAAAGATATTGTGAAGCAGACATAATTCAAACTGATGCGTGATTGTGAAAGAATATCGGGACATAAAAGATTCTCAATCTAGTACAATAAAATTGTGCACAAAGTTATCCAAAATGGATAGCATTCGCGCAAGGGGCTGAGGCTTGGACATATTGACCTCAATTCAACTAATGTACCATGACTTTATTCAAATAAGCAACACAAACAGAAAAGTCTAAACTGTCTTTCAAGTTTAGCACCAAGCATACGCAAACAGAACAATGGAAGAATCAACAGGAAATATTGCTGCCATCTAAAGTCAAGAGCACCTTGTATAAATCCGGCCGACGATCGCGAAAAATCCCCCAACTACTTCTCTTGGATTTTATTTTGTCCAAATCAAATTGTGCAACAAGAACGGTTTCTTCCTTATCGTTGGCTTCAGCAATTAATTCACCGGTGGGCCCTATTACAGAGAGTGCATGCTCAAAGTTCCTTCTACCAGACAGTAGAAGTGAATGAAATCGAGTTCTTTACCTAATTTGCAAAGTCTTACCTGCTATGAATGAATTCCCGTAAAAAGTGATCTCACTTTTGCCATGCTCCGTCTCTATAATCTCCTTACCAATGCGGTTTGAAGCTACTAAAGGCACCTGAATGTTTAAAATAAAGTTAGAAAGTGAGAGTCTTACTAGCAACATCCATAAAAAGCTAATTTTACCTACAAGATATTTTGATTGTACTAAAAATAAACACATTCCTGAAAAGCACGGACTATTGTGGTTCCCAAAATCCAGCCAATCGTGAATGGACATTATTAAAAATGATAATAACTAAAGGATCAATAAACCTATGATGATACAAAGGTTTAGCCAATATTTATGATTTGAGTGATAATGCATGCAATGAAATACTTAAAAAAGTTGATGAGATTATTTAGATATTATTATGGCAGAAATGCATTATTAGCCTTGTTGGTTTAACATTATAGCAATTCTAGTCCCAATGTTCCAACTTTTCGCCTTTTGCTCATGTGATTTAATATTTTGCTGCAATAATCAATTCTAGTCCCAATATTTTGCTGCAATTACAACAAAATTTTAAATTACATGACTGAAATTACAATAATTTTTAAATTACAAGACTTAAATTGCTAATTAAAAATCCATTCCAAAGATATAATTTGGAAATTTGTTGCAATTTAAGAAAATTGCCGCAAAATATTAAATTACAGGACCAAAAGGCAAAATGGTAGAATATTGGGACTAAAATTGTTATGACGTTAAACCAGCAAGACTAGAAATGCAATTTAGCCTATTATTATCTGATTATTGATATAGTGGCTTGAAGAATGCGAAAAACAGAAATGATGTGAAAGAAATAATAAAATTGTCGGGATCCTCAAACCCACCACATTAGCACCAGCATGGCCCTGCATCACCCGTTTCCAGTGGTCCCGAGAATCTAGGCCATCATCTTGAGGTTCAGAACCAATAGCAGTCGGATAAAACAATATTTCTGCACCTTGAAGTACCATGGCTCGAGCCGCCTCTGGAAACCACTGATCCCAGCATATACCTATAAAGTATATTAATTATCAGCTTCCAGAGCTTCGTTTAAATACTACAAAAAAGACTAACTTACTATATATATAAAAAAATAAAAAATAAATAAAAAATAAACTACATAATGACAAGTAACTCGATAGGGTGTCACATGGCACCCTTCGAGGTTTGTTTTCTCCTAACAAACACCCCCTACTGAGAGAGAAATTATACCAAGTAAGAAATACCGGGAGGGCATATTTGTAGATTTTAAAGATATGTAGGTCATATTTGTTATAAGATGAATACCAAAGGTACTTTCTGTAATAAACTCTACATCTTAAAACCGGAAAGTAAAAAACTTGATGGATGTAAACCTAGAAGTAAATATATCTTACCTACTCCAATTTTGGCATACTTGGTCTGGAACATCTGTTAACATCACCAAGTTGTTTGATTCAAACAAAGAGGAAAATGTGTAACAAAGTAATAAACCGAATGATTAATAACATAGGTCTGGCCTTTTAATTCCCTGGTCTAACCTTAAAACCAGTGTCGCCTGGATTGAAGTAAAATTTCTCCTGGTAGCCTGAGAAAAAAATAATCATTAGNTCAAAAAAAAAAAAAAAAAAAACATCAGCGGTGAAAATATAATCTCATGTCTGTATAATTAAAGTCGCCAAACCTGGCCCATCTGGAATATGTGATTTTCTGTAAAGTCCAAGATCAGTCCCATCAGCATCAATAACAACTATCGAGTTATAATGTGCATTGTTTGCTTCCTCAAAGAAGCTAACTGGTATCACTACTCCCAATTCCTTGGCCAGATTCTGCATCCTGAGATGAAAAACTTTAGTTAGATAGACTGACTGCTTTATGTAAAATTAATATGGAAAACTGTGAAGTTCACAGTTCAAGGTCTTTACACCAACATAATGAATTCTAGCTACAAAGCCCAAGACCAGAATCATTACCTCAATATAGTGGGGTGTTCATTACGGGGTTTAGCTCTCTGGAAATAGTCTTCCCTTTGTGCTTGGCAAAAGTAATAACCCTCAAATAATTCCTGAGAATGAATAGTAAGAGAAAATAAGCATATACACAGTGTAATTCACAAACGAACAAAAAAATAATAAAATTTCAAAAGGTGCTATCCTTCAATGCTTCACTACAACAAGACAAAGGGTTCAGTAGACATGCTTCCTTTTTCATTTTAGTTAATCCGTAACCATGAAAGTGCAGTCATACAGCATCTTTCAGTTAAATTCTGGGTGCATCATTCAGGAATATAGAAATAAAAAGAAGAAATAAATCTCAAATCCGGACATTTATGACTTAGTTTGTGATATTATACAACAATAGTTACAGTAATACATGTTCCTAACCCAGCTGAAATATGATAAATTGCCAAGGAAGTACAAATAAACAGAAGTAACACAAACAGTTCCAAACCACAAAAGCTACAAATAACTCGTCAGAATTCCTTAAGAATGATCAAATGCAGTATAAATAAAAACCAACCAGAAAAAGCTGACAGCATATAGATGTGTAGACATGGGGATGGGTAAAAGGCAAATGTTTATATCCAATAACAAAGGAACTTTCAAAATATTGAAAATAACCCACCAGGTACGGGAATTGGGCATGATTGTATGATGTATGTGGAGAACTTTTACAAATTAAAAATTTACAATTACAAAGATGACAAGCCCGATTGGAGGGGAAAAAAGTGACCATAATTATGTTAAGAATTAATTTTTCATCATTTCAAATGAAGCACACCTGAATAATAATTGAAAAAATTACAATTCCAAAGATGACAAGTGCAACTCAAGAGGAAAATAGCTGGGCCTTATCAAGAACTAAGTTTTCATCATTTCAAAGAACTCACACCTGAATAAGAATGATATTTGCCCCTTTCTTATGAGCTGCTCGAACCAATCTGCATTCAAAAGTATTTCACACTGTATGAAAAGTCGCACAATTCTTATATAAATGCATGCTTATCCACCTCTTCTCTTATGAAGTCAAAATCAATAATACTATCACCAAGAGGGGGAACCACTTGATAAAGACAAGATGAGATCATACAGAAGAATCTGAAACATAGTCATTGAATTATAACGAATTCTATGATACAACATATCTTTGCTAAATTACTCTATCTTGGATNTTAAGAAATTAGGTAGGTTCTATGTTAGGACGGTCTAACCATTAACTTGATATACTATTTCAAAAAATATGCTTACCTTCATTGAAAAATATCAAACGTTAAAAACAACAAAATCAAAAAGTATAATTTGATCATATAAGTATACATTTTTGTTCATATAGTATATAGTATAATAGGTCGACCCACCTAAGACTCACACAGGAACTCGCTTTAGAAACTATATTAAGAATGCAACACTAATACAATTAAGAAACAAGCCTTGTTAATCCATTCAACACACTTAACCCCTACATACACACATGAAAAAGAAAAATAAAGAGAAAGAAATTGAATTTGTCCTTCTGAACCACACCATTATCTTACCAAGCAAGTTCAAACGCACAGCATAAGCTTACAACTAAGACCTTCAATTACAAAAAAAATGCCCCACTAGAATAACTTATGACTAAGATCTTCAGGTTAAGCGGACTAGAATTTTTCTCGCAATAAGCATCTTGAAACAGAAATTGACACCTGAAAAAAGAAATAGGTTTTCACCTTTCGGCCGTGTCGATGTTGGTGGATACGTCGTCGGTGCAAGCGAATTGCAGGGCCGACACGGTGACTAATCTGCTTTTCGCCATTTTTAATTTTTCTTCCCCTCGCCTATCTCGGTGAATGGCTAGTCAGTAAACAAGTCAAATATCAACTAGAATTTCCACGTTTTTCTTTTTAAAACAAGAGTTTTAAGTAGACAAGGCAAAACGGGCCGGCGGGCGGCCTGCGGGCCCGCCGTTTGGCGGGTCGGGGCGGGGCGGCCCGCTATCTTGGCGGGCCTTTGAAAGGGCAGCCCGGCCCAACCCTGCCGCGGGCCGCGGGCTGGCCCGCCGTATATTAAAAAAAATAAAAAATAAAAAACAGAAAAAAGAAAAACGGGGAGCAATTTGGCAAAGCAAACAACAATTCATTAAATCCTTTGGGAACAAACTGGCCGCACTTGACGTGTTCAGGGTGAATTAAAAAAAAATGGTCCAACCATCCGTCAAGTACCAGAGTGGAAGCTTCCTTGCCGTTGCCGCTCGGAGACACTGCCTCGCCGCACCCACCGCTCGCCGTCGCTGCTGCCTTGCCGCTCGCCGTCGCCGCACACCGATAGGCTTGAGAGGGAGAGTTGAGAGATTAGAATTTAGGGTTTTTTTTTCCTTTGCCATCAGATATCTCCAAAGAGATTAGGATTTAGGGTTAAGAATTCTTCGCTGCCACCGGTGCCGGACTCTGTTCTGGATTCTGGGTTGAAATCGTTTTTTTTTATTAAAAAAAAGTGAAATGAGAAGTGAGATCAAGAGGTGAGAGTCGTTTTCTCTGTCCTTTATCATTGTGTTTTGTTTTGTAAAAAATGTAAAAACTAAAATCATTTTTTGTTTATTAAACTTACGGGCTGGCCCGCGGCCTACCGGGCCAAGCCCGCCAAAACCCGTGGCCGGCATGGGCCAGCCCGTTTAGGCCCGCCCTTTTGGCGGCCTGTAAAATTGCAGCTCGACCGCCTCTTAGGCGGGGCGGGGCGTGGCGGGCCGACCCGTGGGTCCAAGCCCGTTTTAACGAGTCTGATTTTAAGGTTATTTATTCAGTCAACTTTTTGCCATATGACATACATCAATTAAGGGCTTTTTAGTTTTGAGATGAAAAAAATTGTGGCAAAAACCCTCTTTTCTTTTTGATGTTTGGTTTCCTCATTTTAACCTAGATATGTCGATTGATGTGCCCCCTCTCAGGCGGGGCAATCTGTCACGGCTACTCTCTCCTCCGAGCGGTCCTGCCCAGACGCTGCTACTCTTGGTAAGGTCGGCCTTCTCTCTCTGCTTTTGGGACTTCGATCGTCGGGGTGCTTTTGGAGGTTGTCGATTATCGGAGATGCGTGGGGTCTGGCGCCTGCGTTTCCTACTGGTGGTTGTAGCTGCGATGCTCCCCAGGCCCACACGTCGTGCACAACATGTTTAAGTTTAAAGATGATATCATACGACGATACGAAGTACCCTTAGGTCCTGCAGTGGCATATTTAAATTTCAAGATGACATCGTACGGCGGTACGAAGTACCCTCAGGTCGTGCGGCAGCAAGTTCAAGTTTCAAGTTGACAGTCATGGCCTTCGGGCATGATATTTACTGCATGCATATGACAAGTGTAATATCTATTATTAGATTGAATAACTGTGTAGTTGATTTCTCCACTGAGCTGTGGTTTTCTCCCCCTTCTCCCCTCCCTCTCATTTACCCCTTTTCAAGTTGATCGAGTTGGTGGTGGGACATGGGATGGTGGAGTGGGCAAGTTTTCGAATAGTTGGATGGCTTTATGATTATTGAGACCTTTACCTATGACTTGTTTTCTTAACATGTTGATTTAGTTCATTTGACTTGAGATTATGAGAGGCTTTATTTTATTACCGACTTTGATTATGAGTCAGCATGTGAACATGTTGAGTTGAGATTTGAGAAGTTAAGATTCCATAGTTATTAAAGTAAGCTACTTGAGTTAAGTTTTAAAGTTAAGATGTTCCACAAGTTTAGAAAGAGATGTTTCGTTGTAGTGCCTTGAGTGTCAAGTTGTTCTCAAAAAATCATTTTAAAGTATGAAAAACTTGTTAGATTTTTGAACTCTGTTAACGCCCTTTAAAATGTCCAAATTGCCTTTTAAAAATCGGGGTGTTACACATATCTAGCTACTTAAAATTTCATCTTATGATATAATCTCCTATTACTTAAGGTTCAACTTGAACATTGTTATTTCAAACATATCTAGCTACTTGAAATTTTATCAATATGACATAATATCCTATTACTTAAGATTCACATTGAGCATTGTTATTTCAAACATATCTAGCTACTTGATATTGTATCTTATGATATAATTTCCTATTACTCTACTTCCCTTTTCTTTTCTTTTCTTTTTTTCATTTTTTTATTTTTTTTCATTTCATTCTTGTTTATTCTTCATTCTCTAAACTAGTTTAACTCCTAATGTCATGAAACAGTTGTGAAATTCGATCCTACACTTTAGAGCACTACTCATTGGGCGGGCTATTTCTCCCCATAATTTCAGTTATGCGATATATCGCACTTTGTTCGTAGTTGCTGGATAAAGGTTTTTCAATCTCGATGATAAGCATTGATCTTGTTGACACTAAATAGGAGGAGTTATTTTTTAGGGCTGTCATATTCATCTTTAAATAGGGCTTACAAATAAGAAATTTCCTCTGTCGAAATTGCCATGGGAGGGCAGTCAATCCAGTCCCTGTGAACCATGTGTTAAGGCCACCCTAACTGCCTCTTTCCAGGAGAAACATCCTGATAAGTGAAACCTATAGCCTAAAAGAGTCTCCAAATGTCTTATATTATCTCTAGTAGTGCCACTAAGAGACCGTTGTCATTACCATGTTCAATCAACCAGGTTTCCTCTGCTGAAGTCGTTTTAGGAGTGCAGTCAACAAGGGAAGGGAAGTGCAGGCACATCTTCTTCCCGTTGGTTCCACAAATGTCTCCATCTTTTAGCTAGAACGCAGGTTGCACTTATATATTGGAGGTGTCAAGATGGCGACAATCACGGTCGGTTGCCCACCTAAAAAGAGTCTCCAAATGTTTTATATTAACAAGGAGTCCTAATTGTGGGCCACCAAGAGACTGTTTTCCCTCTCTGTGCTAAGCAATTGATGAGTTGAATAAAGAGAAATCTGTTGCGTTGAAGATTGTGGGTCATTTGATGCAAGGCTTTACTTGTAAAGTAGTCGAGTCGATGTAAAATTTATAACGGTCTTATTGATTGTAAAGTAGTTGAGTCAATTAAAAAATTAAATCTCTCTTATTGGATTATAATGTCGTTTAGTATATGTAAAAAATAGATCGATCTTTGGATTGTAAAGTAGTTTAATCGATGTAAAAATTAGATCGATCTTATTGGAAATGTGAAATTGAATGTTTCAAATGCGTTCTTTCTTCAGAAATTACTTTTCATATGATAGGGCACTTGGTTTGTTGAACTGTATTGAATTGGGACTTTGACATGTGACATGACAAGTTATGCGAACCGCGTTATCAATGCTCAATTCTTAATGTATGCAATTGCTCACATATGCTTCGCATAACACGCATATTGTTCTCTGAACTCGTCTACTTTTTTAAGTTTTCCATATCACTAAACGATGTTCACATGTGTTCACAGTTAGTGAATTACTATGCGATTATTGCATTTGTTTCACAAAAATTGTTTATTTTATTTATTTGTCATTATATTATTGTACCACTGTGCGACTTATCGCACATTTATGGCAGTTATACGAATAAAGGTTGCGTCTTTTCGACTCTTCTTTCAGCGCACTTCGTTTGGCGTGTGAAGAGTCACCGAAATGCTTTCTCAGCGTCAGCGAATTAATAGCAATGGTGCTCGTACCTAGGAAGATATCTTCTTGAGGATATGAATAATTTTGCTTACGCGAATTACTATGAAATTTATTGCACTTTGTTCGCAGAAATATTTTATTTTTATTTATTTTTGTCCTCTGCTGGTTCACTCCACCAGACACCACCACTTAATTACCTCTTCCCTCTCCTGGCAATGTCGAGTCTCACTTTGCTATGCGATTTACCGCACATTTATCGGAGTTCTGCAAATAAAGGTTGCGTCATTTCGACTCTTGTCAGCGCACTTCGTTTGGCAGGTGAAGAGTCACCGAAACGTCTCCTCAGCATCAGCGCATAAGAACGGTGCACGTACCAAGGAGAAGAGATATTTTCTCGAGGATACGCATTGATAGTCTTGTTTGACAATTTTTTTAAAGATAATAGGAGTTACATTTTGCTAGTGCTCTCCAATTTGTTGGGATCGGTGATGATCTCATTATATACAAGTCACGAATTTAATAACAACAATAAACCTATGCGCAGCGAATCTAGAGGTTTAGAGTTGAATACTTACGGCTTAAAATTCGCAGACTCTGAGACGTTGTAGATTACCGTTGAAGGAAATCGTCTGATCTCAAAATCTGTTAGGCAGCCGAATTCTTCTCGTCTAACCTCAAGAAGTTGGATGCGATGGCTGGGAGCAGCACGTGTCATCGCGGGGTCACCAGCGGATGCGCGAGGGTGTCGCACGGTCGTGGCAGGGATGCGGCGCATCGGGCTGTGCGTGCAGTCGACGGGAGTCGCGTGATTGTCGCAGGCTCGGCGTCTCCCGGCTGGCTCGTCGTCGGCGGTCGTGGGCTGTCATCGGCGGCGGCTCACGGTGGTCGACGGTCAGGTCTCCGGGGTTGTGTATATATATTGATCACGGTGTCTCGGTACCTCAGGATTGTCTACTGTATATCTCGAACACCTCTTCGTATTGTACCGGTGGAACAACAACACGAAGATAAAGCCCGATTATGGGAACTAGAGGAAGAGTATGAGGGGGGTGGCCGATCGTGTTGCACGATAGGTTTTTTGCTCTTCTTTTATTTCTCAATCTCATGAGCTTAATGATGTATATATATAAAGCTACAGTATGGATCCTAATGAGAACAGAAATAGGGCTTCTTAAGCATTGGGCCTAACTGTGAGCCAAGCCCACTCTTCCAATACTTAAATGATATTATGGTCCACTAACACAATATTATTGCACTCTCTTTTTTCCTATCCCAAATTATATTTGAGACTCCAATTATAATTACTCGAATCACCTCCCCATGTTTAAGATAGGATGTCCATTAATTAATTCAATTACTGATAATCAAGAATTAATTAATATATTATATAACCAAAG